ATATAGATATAGATATATCTCTGTGTGTGTGTGTGCGCACACGCGCGTGCCTCAAGCCATGGTCTGTTGGTTGGCGGGGTTCACTCTAAGTCCCGCCAGGTCACGGGTTCAATCTCCAGTAGCGCTGGGTTCTTGAATATTTAGGGGCACGGCGCGGGCTCTCATCATGGGGCCTAGCGCATAGAAATCGGTATTTAGGCCTCTGCCAAATACCGATTCCCTTTTAATATATATATATATATTTAGTCATTCATTGAAATTCTATACTTCTGAATTTGTAGGCATATTACAATTTAGTATTTTTTAGAATTCTTCCCCATGCAAACAATATTTATGGCCTTCATCAAATAAGGATTTTTGGTCCAACCAAATTTTAGTTAATGGACTGGTGTGGTTTTTAAAGAGAGTAAAATCCGTTTGTACCTCTGTTCCGAAATTTTCTAATGTTGGGACAATTGCTTGAAACGTAGGTGTATTCATGCACTCATAAGGATGGTGCAATCATCATTAGAGAGTTCACAAAAGACTTTTTGTAGATGTTATTTTGAAAATATGTTTTATCTTGGGGGGCTTTTAACTTCATTTATAAATAGAAATAGTTAAAAAATCTTTTTAAAAGGATTTTTTAAGCTTGACTGAATTCACTCATATATCTTAAGTAGGCAAGCTTGATTTATTGGTTTCATAGGTGGACAATTGTTTTGATTTTTTTTTATTTTACTTGTCTAATAGTCATTACTTTTATTCTTTCAGGTCAGTTAATTTTAAATTTGTTCCGGATGAAATATTCATCTCAAAAGAATTTGCAATTGCACTGCTGGTTATTCATCTGACGGTGCTTTTATTATTCGCGCATCACAAATGGTGCAAGTAAATTCTTGATCTATGCATTTAATCATTTTAATAAACAAATTCCTCACTGTTATGTCTGTTGTAATTTTATTTTCCTGTTATGATTTGCTTCGGGTTCTGAGCTTTTTGGAATAACTTTTTTTTTTTATTTTGTTCCTTTTTATTTTATTTGGTTTATGTTATTTTTTGTAACAAAAGCATGTTTGATTTGTATTATGTATTTTTTGTTTTTTTAAAAAAAAATACCATGATAAAACCATAAATCATGTTCAGTTAGCATAAATAATTTAAAATTAAAGTGAATAAATAATAGTAAGACTAAAAAAATATTTAAACTTTTTTGGGATCCACCCAATCCAAACATAGTGGGAAAACCCACAAACACAAATTCACCATCCCAGCAGATATCATGCCTTTTCCTCTTCCATTTACCAGCCAGAGATGAGAAAAGAAATTGTTTTCATTCTTTCTATCATCTTCATGCAGGTAAGATCTCGCTGCTTTTCGACTGCAAACCCCACTTTCTCTGTCACCACTTCAAACCCTAACCCCAAGCCGCCTTCCTTTCCCTATCCTCAATTGAGAGCACAAATGTGCTCTGTTGACCTTCGCGTCCCTAGTAACTGTTGCGTGGAAGGTTTGTGTCATTGAGAGCTTTGGTCCTTGAAGATCGATGAGTAGAAGATTTATGTCATGTGTTGAGTGGACGGTTTGATATCCTTCTCGTGGATAAGAAGAGAGAAAAAACCCAGGAACAACTTGAATTATGGAGGTCTACATTGGAGTCTAAAGGCTTTCATTTGAGTAGAACTAAAATTGTATACATGGAATGTAATTGTAGTAGTATTAGTAGCTCTAGTGACAGAAGTGTAACTTTGGGTGATCAAATTATTGAAAAGTGTGAACGATTTACATATCTCGGAGCAATGGTGCTATAGATGGGATGTTAATAATAGAATTCAAGTTGGTTGGTTGAAGTGGAGGAATGCTTCGGGCCTTTTGTGTGATAGAAAAGTACTACTTAGACGGAAAGGAAAATTTTATAAGATGGTGGTGAGACCTGCAATGCTCTATGGCGCTGAATGTTGGCCTTTAAAAGAGAAGCATAATAATAAGTTAAGTGTTGCCGAGATGAGAATGATTAGGTGGATGAGTGGATTTACACTTAGAGACAAAATGCGGAATGAATATATTCGTGATAGGGTTGGTGTAGCTCCTGTGACAGACAAAATTAGTTTGGTCACATTAAACGTCGACCATCTGATGATCCAATTAGGAGAGTAAATGTTTTAGATTTGACTTATGTTAAGAAAGGCAGAGGTAGTCCTAGGAAGGCTTGGGCTTGTATAAAAATTGATCTTAATTTCTTAGAACAAATGAAAATATGACACTAAATAGGACGCAATGGAGAAAAAGGATCACATAGCCGACACCACGTAGTGGGATTAAGGCTTTGTTGTTGTTATTGTTGAGTGGATGATTTGATTGTGAGCACAATTATGTTTTTTGAGACCTCGAGTTGATAAAGGTGATGAAAAAAAAAAGCAGCGAAGGCAGTTGCAAGGAAAGGAAGTGTGCATGGATTTGTCTTTGCTTACATATAAGAAGTGTGCCATGAATGAAAGTTTTATTATTATTATTATTTTTTTTTTTTTTGAAAAAACAAAAAACATATAAAATATTTTCCAAAATTTTGAAAAGAATCTAATTTATTTTTAAAACTAAAAAAAATTTACCAAATATTTTTTTTTTAACTTTAGTCTCTGGTTTTCTATGTCTCGCATAGCGTAGTCCTTGCATGTCATCCATGACTCATTTTGATTGTTGCTATATCAAATTATTTTGATTGGCTCGGACTTCTACTGAGTGCTGATCAAGCTTAGTGTCGTCTTGCATTTAAATCGTAGTTATCTTCATCTTTACCTGTTGGCTTCTTTGTTGGTGAGATCTAACTTTTGCTTGATGATGTCATAATGTATAACATTTTTTTATGAGATTATCTTTAGCTTTTGAGGTGCATGTATTAGATCTCTTATTTTACATGATTTTTTGCTACTTTTACATCTGTTTTAGATGATTAATTGTGATTTTTTTTGGGTGTTTTGTTAAGATCTAAGAAAGTTTACTGTTGTTTTGAAGTCTATGTTTTAAATGTATTTTTAGGTATGCTCTGTTGCTCTATGATCATTCTTCCTCTGTTAGTTGCATTTCTCTATTGTTTGAGAGTAAATATTACATCAGGAGTCTGGACGCATAGTTGTGTCCGGACTCCAATGAAATTTTGCCACGTGTCACCATGTGGAAGCTGCGGTCCCATTGAATAAAAAATGAAAAAACTCTTTATTTTAATACACGACCCGGCCCGAACCAACCCATTGCTTCGAAAAGGAACGTCTCTGCGCTGAATCATAACGCTCAGTCCATCGCTTCGAAAACAAAATCCTGTTGCACGACTCTTAAATCTCTATTTTCTTCTATTGACATCGATTAGAGTGTCGCATTGCAGTTTTCATTTAAGATTGGTAGCTAAAGTTTTTTTGGTTCGAAATCCTTCACATTGTGGGTCACTGGTCGAGATACATTCAAAGTTCCTCTCTCTCTCTCGCCATGTAAGTCTTGTGATGTTCAGGTTTTTTTTCGAAATAAGTCTTGCGTGAATATTTATGGTTTAGGGTGCAAACTCATGTACTTCTCTATGTGTTTTCAAGCAAACTAATATAGAATAATGGAAGAGCACAAGAAAACCAAAGAGCGTTAGTCGACAGAAGGCATCCAAGTAATTTTGTTTGTGTGGTTGTACTTGCATCATATAATATTTATTTGCATTGTGCAATGACATTGCTGTAACACCACTTTTGTCTGACAATAACACCATATCATTATACTAATAACACCACAATACAACCACAATAACATCACGATACGACGACACGAATAACTTCACTGTACAACATTTGTTTAATAATAACACTTTAATGATACACTAATAACACCACAATAACACCCAAATAACACGTCAGTTACACAAAAAGTATCACCACACTAACATCACAATAACGCATCAATAACACCACATTAATGTTTCGGTTTTATTGATATGAGATTATGGTGTTTTTGTTGTTATATTGCGGTGTTATTATAATATTCTTGTGATGTTATTATAGTATTAATTAGGTGTTATTGGAGCTGTAATGTTTTGGTTTTATTGATGTGGGATTGTAGTGTTATTGTGGTGTTAATTTGATGTTATTCTAATAGTATTATGGTGTTATTTTTGTGTTATTAGAGTTGTAATGTTTTAGTTTTATTGAGGTGGGATTGTGGTGTTATTATGATGTTATTTATGTGTTATTAGAGTTGTAATGTTTCGGTTTTATTGTGGTGGGATTGTGGTCTTATTGAAGTGGGATTGTGATTTTATTATGGCGTTATTGTGGTGTTATTTAAGTGTTATTAGAGTTATAATGTTTATGTTTTATTAAGGTGAGATTGTGTTGTTATTGAGGTAAGATTATGGTGTTATTGTGATTGTGTTATTTAGGTGTTATAATATTTCAGTTTTATTGAGGTGGGATTGTCTTATTGTGGTGTTATTGGAGCTGTAATGTTTTGGTTTTATTGTGGGATTATGATATTATTGTGGTGTATTTATGATGTTATTCTGGTGTTATTCTAGTGTTATTGGAGCTGTAATGTTTCAGTTTTATTAAGGTGAGATTGTGGTGTTATTGAGATGAGATTAGGACGTTATTGGAGTTGTAATGTTTCAGTTTTATTGAGGTAAGATTGTGATGTTATTGAGATGGGATTGTGGTGTTATTTTTGTGTTATTGGAGCTGTAACGTTTTAGTTTTATTGATATGAGATTGTGGTGTTATTTAAATGTTATTAGAGCTGTAATGTTTCGCTTTTATTGAGGTGGGATTGTGGTGTTATTGTTGTGTTAATGTGACGTTATTGTGGTGGTATTGTGGTATTATTGGAGCTGTAATATTTTGGTTTTATTGATGTGGGATTGTGGTGTTATTTTGGTGTTATTTAGATATTATTAGAGTTGTAATGTTTCGCTTTTGTTGAGGTGAGACTGTGTTAATGTGATGTTATTCTGGTGGTATTATGATGTTATTGTAGTGTTATTTATGTCTTATTGTGTCTGTAATGTTTTGATTTTATTGAGGTGAGATTGTGGTGTTATTGAAGTGTTATTATAGTGTGATTATGATATTATTGTGGTGTTATTGGAACTGTAATGTTTCGGTTTTATTGAAGTGGGATGGTGGTGGGATTGTGGTGGGATTGGAGCTGTAATGTTTTAGTTTTATTGAGGTGGGATGGTGTTATTACAATGGGAATGTAGTGTTATGATGGTATTTTTGTTGTGTTATTCAGGTGTTATTGGAGCAGTAATGTTTTTGTTTTATTGAGGTGGGATTATGATGTTATTGATGTGGGTAAGAGATGTTATTTTGGTGGTATTGTAGTGTTATTGTGGTTTTATTATGATATTGTTATTGTGTTATTGCGACGTTATTATTATGTTATTAAGGTGTAATTTTTTTATATTCTGTAATTGTGGTGTTATTTTGATATTTTGTTGTTGCATTCATGTTTGAAGTATTGGAGTGGTTTTATTATGGACACAAACGAGAATAACAAAATGTCTTTTTCTGCATTGTCTTCTTTTGTAGGTTATTGAACTCAAGGATGTTCAACTGTAGATGTTAATCATCTGTAGTAAGAGGTGATATTGATATGTTCAAACGTGCCCTATCTGAGTAGACTTTAAACAAACTAAAAGTAATGAATGTGCTTCAATTTTTGATTTGTCTCTGTATCCCCAAGACAATGTTCTTACACTACACATCTTCAATTGTTGGGATTTTGAATGGATGCTATTCAGGATGGGCAGGAAAGAATTATGAATAGGCCCTGACCAAGTTGCCCTACTGATAGGCATACTCAACAGAGGAGAATCAGTCCACTAGAATAAAGCCCTCTCTTGTGGTGTCGATGCGAGA